ATGCTGGTTTATCACCCCCAGCAGTCCTCAAATCGAAAATAGTCAGTCCGTGTGTCAGGAGACAAATTCGGAGGAGTCCAATTCGTCTCCAACACAAGATAGCAATTATCGGAACGATCAGTAAATTCCAAAACAATACGAAAGCTATCAAATAGCAAAAGCCAGTCCTTAGTGGCAACAAAACGATCAAGTTGTTCAGCAATAATAAGGGTAGTGGGATTACCACGAGTCCACATGAACCACCCTTTATGGGGTCTACTAACAATTAGACCATTCCGATCTAACACATCTCGAAATTCGTCAAGATGGGCCCTATATTTACGACGCCCCCTTGTTTTTCAGAGTCAGATAAGACTTCGTTAAAATCACCCCCATCAACCAAGGTAAAAGAGAAGATTGTCCAAGATTATAATTTAAATTCTAAGTTTCGCTTTTTAAATTGGCATTGGCATGTCCATAAATTCCAGTGAATCGGAAACAAGAATTTTCTGACTGGATTACAGTATCAATATGATGCAATGAGTAAGATAAAATTTGAACCTTAATATTATTCATCCAGAAAAGCATAAGTCCAGTACAATCATCTGAATTATCAACAGTAAAACAAATCGTCTGAGAGAATGAACTGTCGCAGCATTAACCAAGTCACGACAGTTCCAACATAAAAGATTCATGAAATTCGGCGAGGTTGTTCCACAGCCTCCGCCAATATCTTTTTCTGTTTTCCAGGTGCCCCAACTCCAGTATCTGAAGTAGAAGACACCTTGGATTGTTTCGAGTGAGTAGAATGAACTCCTTCGTGCTTTCCTTATAATTTCCGCTTAGAGGATTTCCCTCCAGAATCATCATCACCATCAGTGCCGCGTTTAGCCATCTCCTTTTTGGAAAGCGTCCCAAGAGTTTCTTGAGACTCGGCAAACAATTTCCTTGCAACCGAGTTTGGTTTTTTAGGTGTCTTAGAGAGAACCTTTTGGCCGTCCGGATCAATAGCTCTAGCTGTTGGAAGCACCGTAGGTGCAAGTGCAGCCGCAGGGAGTGCCACCACAGCCGCATGAGGTTCGGCAAGTTGCTGTCCATCCAGCGCAGCTCCTGGCTCCCATGCAGTAGCAGTGGGCGGGGTATCAACCAAGAAAGAATTGGCTAGTGCGCGCGCGGACACATCTGCCGCAACGGCATCCAAGTCATCGAGCGATAAGGCTTCCTCTTCCGTAGTCCCCGGTTCTACCACAGCAGCTTGCGGTAAAGGGGTCTCATGGATACCCGACTCAGGTTCGGGCTCACTTATGATATCCATTAACTCCTCGAATGTGTTACTGTCCTCTTCACCCATATGAGCATCATTGACATTAGCAGCCGTATCTTGCATGCCGGTTACAATTTCATCCTTAGTGCGATTATGTGATGGTGATGATTTCCCAGCCGCAGCAGCATATTCAATAGCCCGCCTTGGACGGGGCAATGGCCGAGGGGTCTGCGACACTACCTTCAACCGATCTCCTTAAGGGAGTTTAGAAGGTTGATCCCCAGTTTTCAACCGACAAAACTGCATCTTATGGCCAATAAGACCACAGATTGCAAAAGTTAGGGAGGCGCTCGTACTTTAGCAGACATACCCTTGGCTTTCCACCTTTCGCATTCCTCATCATAACACAGTGCCTTAGTGGATTTGTAATATCAATAGCCACACGAATACGCAAAAAGGTACCATGATATGAAAATTAAAAAGCATGTTTAATTATATGAAAACAAATATTTTCAATAAGAAAATGAAACACGATAATGCCAAAGAGAGCATTAGAAGACAGGAACCGTTGTTGTGGTTGTTGTTGGATGAGGCAGGGCCGATTTTCTAGCTGGTATGTGTAGTTGGATTTCTGGTTCAGTGAAGGTTGTTTGTTGCTGCGGTGATTGGTTTGAAGGAAGTTTATCATGTTTTGGTTTGACGACTCGGTATTAAATGTCGTTTTGGTGGTTCTAAGCTGATGTGTTTGCTGCTTCGTGTAATGGAGTTTTGTTTGTTTGTTTTCTGTCTCTGTGTGCTGGTATGAATTTTTGGTGTGCTGGTTTGAATGTTTGTGTGCTTATCTCGATAGTTCTGGGGCTACTGGTGTGTTGGAAGAGCCCATTGCTGCCCTTATGCTTAGCACTGGAATGGCCTAATCTTGTTCACGATATTGGTCCTTGAAGTTCTAGTGATAGTGATGTTCTAATGTGTTTAAAGTTTAGTGTCCATAATTGCTGTTGGAGCAAGTATGTTTAGACGATCTTTTCGACGACGGCAATGTTGAACTCTTTTTCTTTGGAATAGGTTAGGAGTTTTTTAACCAGGTACATGTCGTTGTCCCGTTTTGTATGTGTTGTTTTAATAAATCATACAAATATTACCCTTTTAAATAAATTAAAGGTACAAAAATTTAAATTTATTTATTTATTTTCAGAATTTTAAAAACTTTTTCAACCTCAAGTTTTTTTTACCTCAATATCAATTAAACTCACTATCACTACAAAGCAAGGATTTAAATTACGAAATGTTCTACGGCGCACGTCACATACCATAATATACCATTAAAGTGACATGCCGAAACAAACCACAAGCAAATTTGTCCTTATTATATAAATATTAAAAAGTATAAGGATTTATTTAAAATTAATCATTTATTAGAAATTAATTATAATTTTAATAGAATTATAATTAAATTATATTTTTTAGGATAAACTATATGTTTGGTACCTAAACTATCACTTTTGTTCCGATTTAGTACCTAAAGTTTTATTTTTTTTTTCAAAATCATACTTAACGTTTATTTTTTGTTTCATTTTAGTACCATGCAGTTAAAAAGTTAACGGCACCGCTAACGTTGATATATTTTTATTTAGGTAAATTACATTATTCATCACTCAACTATCTTTTCACTTCTATTTTGGTCACTGAAATTTAAAAAAATTCAATTTAATCATTAAACTTTTATATTACTTGTATTTTGATCTCTCTTTGATGACATGGATTGTTTTATTATTATTTTTAGTATGACATGACAAACTTATTATTATTAATGTCACATAAAATTTAAAATCAAAATCAAAATCCTTAATCTTAATCCTAATTCTCCAAACCCCAATGACGAACTAAACCCATCATTGACTTCATCTTTATGAAATAAAGAATACCCAAAAACCCAAACTAGCCCTTGTTTCTCCTTTCATTTTCTTCTCTTCCTTGCATGAGGCAGTGCTACGATTGAGTGAAACTACACAAAAAAAATAAAAATATAACGTTACAGTCCATACATATCTTCATCAAGTTCTCGTTTTTTTTTTGTTCTTTTCATTTTGATTTTATGATTAGGCACATGAAAGTAAAAAGGAGGTAATGATGCTTTGTTTGGTTGGTGATCTAGTGAAATGTGTTATCTTTGAAAAATGAGGGAAAGTGCAAGAAAATAAGTATAAACAGGAACCTAGATTTTTTTTTGTTTTGTTTTGTTTTTGTTTCATACTTCTTTTCTCTTCTTTATTCTAGTTTTACTTTTTCTGAAACTGCAATATTTTAAGAGGAAATGAGAAAGAATGGATGGAAACTTCCTTCTCATCCACTTCATGTGCTTTCCCTTTTATTATTGTTTTTGTTTTTATATAAAAAACATTTTGAGCTTTTTTTGTTTCAATTATGAGTATTGAGCAATGTTTACATTTTTCTTAATTTGTCTTTGTGAATGTGATGATGGTCGATGTATCTTGACACTTAAATTTGTTTCTCTGTGTTCATTTGTTTCTCTGTGTTCATTTGTTTCCGGTTCGAAAATGATTTTTCAAGGGATTCTTATGTGATGGTCGGAGGGCTTGGATTGATGATTTGGGTTTGGGGATTAAGGGTTAAATTAAAATTATAAATTTTTATTTTTAGTTTAAAACTTATTAGATATTAAATATTGATTAATTTATCATGTCATACTAATAATAATAATAATAATATAGTTCGAGAGAATCGAAATAGAAGCAATTCAAAAGTTTAATGATTAAATTCAAAAATTTTAATCTTTAATGATCAAAATAAGAGTGAAAAGATAGTTGAGTGATGAACTATATAGTTTACCCAAATAAAAAAATACCACGTCGTCAGATGTTCCATTAACTTTTTAACGATATGGTATTAAAATAAAATAAAAGTAAGCGTTATGTATGATTTTGAAAAAATTGAAAGTTGAGGTACTAAAACAAAACAAAAGTAATAATTTAGGTACTAAACGTGTAGTTTACGCAGTTTTTTATTAAAAATAGCAGAAGCAGTTGATTTTCTGACGAACTGAAGCGTTGGATGTTGTAGCAATTGATTTTCCACGGCGAGTGAAGGTGGTCGTTAGCAATGATTAATGCTGATGACTAGTTCTAACTTATATAACTTAAAAATATTAATTATAAACAAATTAAATTACTTAAATTAATTATTATTTTAAAAAATATAATTTATTTATAATTCTATTAAAATTATAATTAAATTTTAATAAATGATTAATTTTAAATAAATCCTTCCTTTTTTTAATATTTACGTAAGACAAAATTTGCTTGTGATATGTTTCGCTATGTCGTTTTAGTGGTGTGTTGCAATATGTGACTTGCACTGTAGATTTATCCTTTAAATTACAATTGCGATCGTATTTTCGGTTACATTACGTTTATCGTGATTGTAGATATAACTGACACAATTACGATTATTGTGAGTATCACAGTCGTGACTTTTTTCTAAAAAACAATTTATAAAAAAAGTTGATTAAAAAAATTAAAATAGTGAAATAACGGTCTGCTATTACCGTGATTAACTACTACCCGTTAATTTGCGGCCATGATCCATTACTATCGGTATGATTCTGCTTCACACCATTATATTCAACGATAGTAATTTCGTACGCAATGACCACTATTTTGCTATTAGACCGTTATTTAAATCCAGAGTGACCGGGAATTTCCCCCCAAAAATGGATTTTCAGGGGGGAAAAAAGTAGGGTTATGTGGATCCCGATTTGTCGATGGTTACAAGAAAGCTCGAGAATTCATCGATATCGCAACATTGTAAACCGTATCAACTGAGACAAAAATCGCCGGCTTTGTTTTCGCCGTCACAATGATTTCTTCTAAGAAAGTCCTCCACTCTTTTCAAAACCATTCTTCCCTTGGGCGTTTCCTTTACAAATCAGTTTCCACTATTCCCTGGTATTTCCCTTTTCCAATGCTTTTCTAATTAGAAATTGTTGGGAAAGTCTCTACTTCTTTTGTGGATTTTCTTTTAAAGAATTGCAATTCAGATTGTCTATGCTTTTGATCCATTTTCCTTGTGAAATTTGCATACGAATTAATGAATTTGATCCAAACTATACTTCTGTAAATGGATCCATATACTTTATCTACTGCTTTGGTATCTGTGAATCGATGCATACAAGTATTTGTTGGATTTCGTATTTGATATCATACCGCAATCTTCAATTTGTTGGATTCGGATTTCTTGCAGACCCCTTTCAATGTTTTATGGTCTATAGTTTTTTGCTGGGAACAGTTGTTTGGGCATTTTGGAGAGCAAATGGGTGAGATTGATACCAAACCTATTGAACCTGTTCAAGTTGCAATATCTTTATTTGGCCATAAAAGTAGCCACTTGAGATACCGATCGAGCGGCAGCCATGTAAGTTTTGAATGGTTATTATTATGTATTATTTTAATAATTAATTAAATATGATTTTAATATAATTTTTTAATTAAATTTATTTAATTAGTAAATATTTAGGGTAAAGTACACAAATGGTCCACGACTATAGGATGACGATTTATCTAGTCTCCTAACTATTAAAAGTTACAAAATGATCTCCAACTGTATTTTTTTGAGTCCCTCGACTATTAAAAGTTATAAAATGGTCACATGACTATTCACATATTTTAAATTCGTCATTTTTCATTAAACAATTTATGACAATTTGAGCTGGACGTTAATTTGTTGATTGAGAAATGATAGTCGTTTGAGATTTTAAAATCATATTTTATTATATCACAGTTAGCAGGTTAATGTCCAACTCAGATTGTCGTAAATTTTTTAACAGAAAAGGACTAGTTTTGAACATATGAATAATAGAGTGACCATTTTGTAACTTTTAATAGTCAGGGGACTCAACAAAGTAATGCTCTATAATCAAAGGACCGTTTCGTAACTTTTAATAGTCAAAGGACTCAACAAAATAGAAACCTATAGTCGATGGACCATTTGTGTATTTTACCCAAATATTTAATTAGTTGAAAAGTATTATGGAATAAAGTTTTTTATCATTAAATATTTCACTCTATAAATATATAATATGTCTTAATTTCAGAAGTATCGGAGAGACAAATATGATTAGGATATAATATTTATGCGATCTCTTTTTAATAATTGAGTTGTGTAGGATGTAGAAACTAGAAAGTGCTTGGTAAAACACCGGATAAAGAGGAATTCAATATATTTGAACACTAAGAAACATAGAAACAAGATTTGTTTCGAGTTTAGGGATTGATGTTTAATTTTTTTTTGAAATCTTTATATTTTATAATTAATATTTCTTTAATTTGTGGAGGTATATAATCATAATCAAACAATACTAAATATTATTTTTGTGTAGAATTTATTTCATGGTGATCTTACAATGATTATCTTCGCATTTATAAATCTTTAACGAATGGTAAAATGGTTATAGATTAGAACTCGTGATGATATAGTAATACGTAGTTGTTCAGTTTTAAAAGAATTTATTGATGTGGCATGAGTTAGCAAGATTAGAAATACGCAATAAGAGTTTTGTTGTAATAAGTTTTCAATTGTGAAGGAATAATTTTTAATTAATCTAACGATGCTTCAACAAATATTTGATTTACGTAAAAGTTAAAGTTATTAAAGAGTAATGCTCTAACGAAATTTGTGACAATGTGAGATTTTTTATGTATTTAATCAAATTTTAATTAGTAATCAAGTTAGATTTGGGCACAACATTAAGTTTATTTAATAAAAAATAATTATATTAGATAAAAAGTCGTATGAAATAAAATTTTTTGATGAATAAATATCTGACTTTATAAATATAGAGTAATTTTAACATTTAGAAATATGAGAGCGATGTACTAATTATAACTGTTCGAGAGATTAATTTTGAAAGGATGTAGTAAGAGCTTGGTTGAACATAAAGTTTATGGACAAAAGTGAATTTCATGTCTTTAAACGCCATGGAGCATATAAATGGTATTTGTTTTAGGTTCAACGTTTTGTGTTCTGTTTTACCGGATGTTTGAGCTCTTTGTAATTTTTATGTTTTATAGTGTTTCTCTCTCTCATCATCATTTGAGGTAAGCAATCATGGTTGAACCACATTAATTGTGTGCGACTCATTACCAGAATTATTTTTTCGCTTACAAAATTCTAACTAGTGTACCAAAATTATGGTTTGAGACTCGTGATGATAAGATCATAAGTAGTTATTAATTATGTTAGTAAAATTAGATACATGCAAAAAGATCTTACAGTAAGGACAGAGGAAATAATTTTCAATCGATACAACAATGCTTCATCAAATATTTAATTTACATAAAAATTAAAATTGTTAAAAACTTAAAGGACAATGTTCTGACGAAATTTATTTTAAGGAAAGATGTTTTATATGGATTCAAATTATAATTGATAATTAAGTTGGATTTAGATATAATATTAAATTTATTTAATATCAAAGTATTTATATTAGTTAAGAAGTATTATGGAATAAGGTTACTTTGTGATCCAATATTTGCTTGTCTAAATATAGATTAAGCTTTAGCCTTTAAAATGACGAGAGAGATGCAATTCTTAAGAAATTAGTTTTGTAGGGATGCATGAAAAGTTTAATAAAACATTGGGTTAATGGATAAAAAAGAATATAGAAATGAGATATGATTTGATCACATGATCTAGTTTTTGATTTTATTGGATATTTGAACATTTTGTAATCATTATTTATTTTTATAATGAATTTGTTTTCATCCGTGAAGGTATAATTTAAATTATATAAAAATTTAAATGAGCCCTCCGATCTATTTCTATCTACAGTTAAAGTTCGAGTGAACTTAGAGATAAGAAAATATTTAAATTATATGCGAATTCTTATATGTTTCCTTTTCTTTTGTCAGTCAGATGTGGAAAAAGAGAAAGGGGTTGAAGGCATAGAAAAGGACTCTGCGTACATGGAGGTTCTTCGTCAACTGGAACACTACAAGAAAACAACACAGCAACTTTCTGTACTACTAAAGAACTCCGAGATTGAGAGGGACAGATATATACAGGAACGCAATGAAGTCAAGGATCGGATCGACGAACTCGAATCGAAGATGAAAGGGATGGTAGATCAGTTGTCCGAATCGGTGAAGATCCGCGAGCAGCTTTCGTGTGTTTTAATGGAGCTGAAGATTACACAAGCTGATATAGTTAATATGGAATCTCAACTTGCTGCTGCAAAAGACTTAGAGCTCAAGGCAATTACACAAGCAGAAATGATGGAAACCTCTGCTAAAATGGAGAAGGAAAGGTCTCAAGAGCTTTTAGGCCGCATTGCGGAGGTTCACGATGCGACTCATATTTCGAAGCTTGCTGCTACGAAAGCTGAAGATGAGAAGTGCAGGATTGTATGTGAGAAAGATGCTGAAATGGAGGCATTCAAGGCAACGGTATTTCAAGCACAAGAAGAGATGGAAGATCTGAGAAAACAGTTGGGAACGATACAAGAACTCGAGAATCAGCTCGTAGCGAAGAGCGCGTATATCGGTTCATTGCAGGCAAAATTGGAGCAGGTAACTAATGTGCTTGGTTCAACGGAGAATGGAATTGATCTGAACCAAATATCGCATGACTTGGAGTTCAAGAAAAGAAAGATATCGGATCAAGCGTTTTACATCGCAGAGTTGGAAACGGAACTTAAACGATTAGAACTTGAACTTGAAAATGCTAAGCAAGAGGCAAAGAACCTGAACTGTAATGTTGAAGCTCTAAAAAGTGATTTAGAGAAGCTACAGATTGAGACGGATGAAGTTAGGAGAAGAGAAAAGGATGATCAAGTTGAAATTTCACACATTGAAGAGCAAAGAGATAAGTGTGTTGATCACATAACGATTTCAATCGAAGAGTACAACTCTTTGATTCGAAAAGCTAAGAAGTCAGATGAAACTTCAAGGTCTACGGCAGATGATTTCAATAAGTTAACCACAGAGTCGGCAAGCATGAATGAAGTTGAGGCTTTGAAGAAGGAACTGAAAGTTGCAATGACGAAAATCGGGTTGTTCTGGAACCGGGCAGAGCAAGCGGCTACAAGGGCGGAGGCAGCGGAGAAAGCCAGAGCAACAGCAGAGGATCAGCTGAGGAAGTGGCAAGAACAGAAGCAAAGAAGAAAAGCTGCTTTAACTGCCTTAAGGGAGGAGTCTGCATCCAAACAATTCAGTCCTTCCACCATTGAAAAGTTACCTACAAACCATCAGCCATTGGGTCAAGTTCTTAACCTTAAATTCTAGTCTATGAATTTTTTACAGAAATTTCTGAGGACTGAAATTGTCATATTGGTCTATAATGGTGAATGTGTTGTGTTATGATGCTTGTATCTGTTTTTCTAATTGCTAACAAAACTTTCAACTTTTAACTTGGTTTAAAATTAATGCATGATTTGATCCTACACTATACTATTTTCTCAATTTGATTCTTCTACTTTTTCGTCCAAATAAAGACCTAATTTTATTATTTTTCTCATATTAGCCCATACTGTTACTAATATCATAAAAATTGTTCACACGTTGTGTAACATCCTCAATACCGGGTTAGTGACTAAATTGGAAAGTTTCAGATTTTGGTGATTAAAATAGAATGAATGAATAGTATAAAGATTTATATGTAAATAATTGTGTAGGATTGAATTGAAAGGAAGAAGGAATGGAAGGGAAAAAGAGCCATTTGCAAGGAAAATTAATTAAAGAAGGGATAAGGATATATATGAGTACAAGTGGGATGAAAAGAAGAGAACACCAAAGCCTTCCAGAGTTATCTTCTTCTTCTTTCTTCCATGTACGTGTGAACCAAAGCAAAGGTAAGATTTCTGATTATTGAGTTTCTTGTTAAATTTAATATTGGGTTTTGATTATTAGATGATAACTAAGCTTAAGGAAAGCTTAAGTTATCTTAACATCAAAGGATGATTGAGTTAGGAGAGATTTAAGATTTGAAGTTCTTAAATGAAATCTTGGAATAGAGTTCATAACTAGAATTGAAAGTTATATTTGACTTGTCATCAATCTAGTTAAGATATACGAAGTGTTAAAAACGGAATTCAAACATGTTGATTTATTAATGTAATTCTTGAATTACATATGAAGGATAGGATTTGAAGGTTTAAGATGAAATAAATGAGTATAAATTGGTTTAAGGATGTGTACTAGAGTTAAGAATGAAAAAGGGGATTAAACATGAAGGATTTAATCCAAATGAATGAACTTTCGGGTTCAAAAAGAGGATTCCGGGCAGAGTGCACCGATGCACATTCATGGTGCATCGATGCATCAAGGTTAAAACCCAGAAATTGTATGAATGTGCATCGATGCATTGGTAGTGCATCGATGCACTCTTTTAAAATAAAAACATCGAATGCAATTGGTGCATCGATGCATAAGGAGTGCATCGATGCATCCCAGTAATAATACTATATCGAATACCTTTTATGCACCGATGCATCAGTAGTGCATCGATGCATACCTTCATTAAAAGATGAAATTGACTTTTCTCTTAGTCTAAAGAGTGAATCATTAGAGTATATTAGTTATAATACTGATATAGATCCATGTGCGATTATGTAGATACTAAAAGTAAGCTTATTCCGGAACGATCAAAGGATTAGAATTTAATCAAAGCAAAGCTAAGGTGAGTGCATACTATATGTATATTATAATGGAATAAGACTTGTGATAAGTCTAATCCCTATGTTGATTTTTATAATACAGTAGTTGTGAACATGCATACATGATAATTATTGTGATACATGCATAAGATATATATATGTTCATGTGATATGATATGTGATATGACATGTGATATGAGAACATGATATGAAGTGATATGAGATACATGATCACAAGAGAAATGATATGAGTACATGAACATATGAAATATAAGAATAATGCCCATAGTATACGATATGAGAATTATAGGTGTAATTGGCATGCCAAGAGTCGAGGGTATAATAGTCCTTCGGGACGTAGTCCTTCGGGATGTAGGAGTCCTATGGGACGAATACTGAACTAAGGTTCGGTGCCCCATGAGGGAATAGATACGAGCTGTGGTGACAGCATTAGTGAACAACCTCAATGCACTCACATACCTCTAATCTCAATAATATACATGGGCTATGCAATTGAAATACCGATTTACAGTGAAAGTGATACAAGAAGGTAAGTTTCGTATGTGCATTTTATGTTATCGTGCGATAGATACATGCATATTGAAATGTCATGATCCAATTGTAAGTATGAACATTCATAAGTTATTGTTGCATATTCATTTATTACCTCACCAAGAATCAGGAAAAGTGGAAATAGAAGTAGCACGGACAACAATACTATTAAGAGATCAGATCAGAAGTAATTGACAAAGTATGTACTTGGTTATGTATAGAGTGTTGGCATGTAATAAGTGTTAATTACAAATATTCTGATCGATTTTGTATTTTACGATCTTATATAAATTAAAGTATTTTGTTTTAATGAAAGTTTTAAAAATTCCCGGGATTTTCTTTAAGAGTCAAAGTTTGAAAAGTCAATGTTACACCTCAGACTTGTATTCGGGTCGGATATGAGTTAAGGGTGTTACATTTAATGGTATCAGAGCTACGGTTTAGTCGATTCTCGGCATAAACCGAAGTCTAGAGTATCTTATAAGGTATACATGCCAACAAAATAGTGGAAACTCCTGATCTAATGGAATAGTAAGTATGTTGTTTTGCTAATAGAACTATATGGTTGTATTTTTATAGATGTCCGGACAAAGTAGATATAGAAATGAAGTGGGAGATGATAGACCCGCTGAAAGCAGTAATTCACCTGCCCTGGCCAGGCAGAGTGAATAACAGACATCCTCTGGAATGCCTGTCAATGATCAAGATATATTCTTTATAACGTTAGATGCGGTATTGACGCGTTTCCAACCTCCTGTTACTTCAACTCCAAAAATGAATGTTGCGAAAGAGTTAAAGGGATTAGGAGCTCTAGAGTTTAAAGGGGAAGCCAATGAAGGTCCTGTTATTGCGGACCTTTATCTTAATGACATGAAAGTCATGCTTACGGGACTTCATTGTTCCGATGCTGAGAAGCTGGATGGAGTAATTTCCTTGTTGAGAGGACAAGCAAGGATCTGGTGGACCAATGTTTCATTGAGGATATCTAATGCCCAAGTAACTTGGTCATTATTTTTAGAAGAATTCAAGCATAAGTACATTAGAGATCAATTTGTTCGTCAAATGAAGCAAGAGTTCATAAATTTGAAGCAATGGAATCACACTGTGTATGAGTACGAGTGTGAATTCAATAAATTGAGCCGCTTTACTGTCGAGCTAGTTCCTACTGAAAAGGATGCTTGTGAGTGGTTCGTAGAGGGTTTACATCCTCGGTTAAAGGAAATGTTGATTGTCTTGAATTTATCATCATTTCAAGAAGTAGTTAACCGTGCCAAGGCTCTGGAAAGAGCTCAGAACGAGAGGTTTGAAAATTCAAGAGCTCAGACAGTCAAAAGAACGGGTGTTTCTTCAAGTTCCGCACCATTAAAAAGGGGAAACGATGCTGGTTTTCGACCCCAGGTTAGATCAGAATCAATGGCATCCTCTGCTAGAGGAACAAATCAAATGAGAGGTAGACAAACTCAGTCAGTGGAATCTGGAGCTGGGAGAACTAATCAGAGTCAAGCCAGACAATTCCCACATTGTGGAAAGAATCATTTAGGGGTATATCGAATGATTTCTGGAGTCTGCTTTAGATGTGGAGACGCCGGACATTTCGTTCAAGATTGTCTAATGTCAACCAGTGAATCTGTACAGCCAGAGAGGTCTGTTTCTGTAACCCAGAGGGGAAGACGTAGAGGCAGAGGAAGAAGTCAGTCAGAATCTTCTGCTCAACAGGAGATACACTCCACTGCTCGAGTGTACAACCTCAAGACCAATGATGATTGTGATGACCCAGATATTATAACAGGTACCTTTCTATTGTTTGACAAAGGTGTTATTGTATTGATTGATCCAGGGTCTACATATTCATATATTACTAGTACGTTAGTAAGAGAATTGAACATTCCTTTAGAAACTACTAGTAATGAAGTAATAATGACGAATCCACTAGGGCACAGTGCTCAGGTAAATATGGTGAGCTGAGGGTGTCCCATACGGATTCAGGGAATTGAATTTCCTGCTAATCTGATGGAATTACCTTTTAACGAATTCGAAGTGATACTGGGGATGGATTGGTTATATCGTTATTACGCTGATGTCGACTGTAGATTGAAAAGAGTGACATTGAGAAGTTCCGAAGGAATAAAAGTTATTGTATTTAGTGAAAGATGGAATCCATTAGCAAGTGTGATTTCAGTGATGAATGCAAAGAAGTTACTGCTACAGGGATGTCAAGGATTTATTTCTAATGTACGGGATGTTAGAACCAAAGAGAAAGGGATTTAAGAGATTCCTATAGTCAGAGAGTTTCTCGATGTATTTCCTGCAGAGTTGCTAGGTTTACCTCCTGACAGAGAGGTAGAATTCCAGATTGAGATAATACCAGGAACAACGCCCATTGCAATGGCACCATACAGAATGACTCCAAAGGAATTACAAGAATTAAAGATTCAATTAAAGGAGTTATTGGACAAAGGGTTTATTAGACCAAGTGTATCACCTTGGGGAGCTCCAGTTCTATTTGTTAAGAAGAAAGATGGATCAATGCGTCTTTGTATCGATTACAGATAACTCAACAAAGTGACCATCAAGAACAAGTATCCACTTCCCCGAATCGACGATTTATTTGATCAATTAAAGGAAGCTTCAGTGTTCTCAAAAATTGATCTACGTTCGGGTTATCATCAATTAAAGATTCAAGAAAAAGACATTTCAAAAACGACGTTTAGAACAAGATATGGTCATTATGAATTTATCGTGATGCCGTTTGGAGTTACGAATACACCAGCTGCTTTTATGGATTTAATGAACATAATTTTCCAACCGTATTTGGATCAGTTTGCTGTGGTGTTTATTGATGATATTTTAATATATTCAAAGTCAGAAGAAGAGCATAGTTCACACTTACAGATTGTTTTACAGATTTTACGAGATAAGAAGCTTTATGCTAAATTCTCTAAATGTGAATTCTGGTTGAATGAAGTGGCATTCCTTGGACATGTAATTTCTGCAGAAGGAGTTCGAGTGGATCCCCAAAAGATTAAAGCTATTCTGGAGTGGAAAGTTCCAAAGAATGTATCGGAAGTTAGAAGTTTTCTGGGGTTAGCTGGTT